TACTCCTAAAAAAAGTATATTGTCATCATGTAGCAGAGATTGCTCTAAACCCTGGACCTTCTAAGAGGACTGGTGAGAGCCCTTCTCTTCATCAGAACTCAAACTCTCCAAGAACATCCTGTACACAAGAGCTCTAGTTCCGAGACAAGAGGCCTTTCAATCAAGAGCTGTGTTACTTGGAAAATGGCTCTCTGGTGAATTTCTGTTCAATCATATTCCAGGCAAAGATAGCCATTGACTCTTACTTGAAGAAAACATTACTTCACCACTTACCTCTTCGGGTCTAACTGTACCTATCTGCTGGTGTCTGTAGATCATTACACATCACCATAGGAGGTGGATATAGTCTCATCTAACACATGCTATCTTCCTTTAAAAAAAGTACTTCTTCAAACAGTCATAATTTGATATGTGGGGACAATACATGGGCACAGATATGGAAACATTCTTAGACTTGGTAACTGTTTTAGCAAATTTTCAAATGGGAATGCAAGACACATTGATGTATACTAACACCTTCTAAATTAGCCTTCAGATCTTTTCCAAGAGACTATTTTGTTTCTTATTCTTAAGTGCAAGAGACATTGTGATTCTAGGGTAGGATGTCTGTATGAGTAATCAGAAATACTACAGCAAAAAAAGGAGAAACTAATATTCTTTCCATTTATTTGGAAGATAAGGCATATATCAAAAGTTGCTTAAAATTGCAGATATTACAATACAATCCTTTTCTGAGAATGGCAGAGGATGCTTATAAATCCAACACTCTGGAGGCTGAGACAGGAAGATTTTAAGTTTGAGACTATCCTGGACTACACAATGAAACACACACACACCCACACATCCACACCCACACCCACACACACACACACACACACACACACACACACTGCTTAATGAACTGTATGTTATTTATTAAATAAGCCCAATAACAAAATTTATACTATAAAAATAAGAATGATTTTCTATGGGTTCCCTGATCATGTAAGGCTTCATAATGTAAATAGAATGCAAACTATCTAACACTGGCAAGAAAAAACAGCCTAGTTACAGTAAAGAGTTTTGGAAAATGGATACTTGATAAGAACTTTCTGAAGACAGAGACTTAACATCTGCCTCTTCATGCCAAGTGACTTATATGCTCTCTTACATTTAATAATCATAACCAATTTTGTGAGTTATAAATGTTCAGTAATCCCATTTTATAGAGCAAAATGAAACTCAAGATCAGATAAACTCAATGTCACACAACAGAGTAATAGATCCTGTCTCCAAATCAAACTGTTAATTACTGTACATCTCAATATCGCTCCTTTTTCCCATCCTATATTCAGTTTATACATTTTAAAGCTCTGTTTAGAAGAAACAGTTCCTGTGCCTCATTTGCCATAAATAGAAGGATGCAGAAGCATGAGCAAAGTTCTGGCATGGGAAAGAGTTCCCAGTTGCTAGTTTCAAAGTGTGACTTTTGGAAAAGCCCCTTCTCTCTGTACCTCAGTTTCAATTCCGTTCTCTCCAATCTCTCTTCAGCTCTGAGCCTATCTGATACTGGGGGGTCAAAAGGTAAGCTGAATAACAGAACCTGAAGTTTTTTTGCCAAACAGCTTCTAACTCCCTTTTTAGAAGAATGCTATTATGTACTAAAGATCCTGGTAAGCTCACATTATTAACATAGCTTCCTTATTCTGGGACCAAATTTCTTTCTTTGTATATTTCTCTATACTCACTTGCTTTTCCCTTATCATATCTACCTAGTGTTTTGACCACTGGCCTCTAAACAACATCTTGCTATGCTTTTAATTTTTCCTTTTCTGAAGAGTTGAAGTGAATACATTGATAAAGGGGGAAGTAGTGCCAGTGAGGGTGGTAAGGAAGAGGGAAAAGGATGATGAGGTAAATGTTCTAAGGTTACTAGGCAGAAATAAATGACTCATAGGTAACAGGTATGCGTCATAATGGAAGTAATATGATAAAAATAGATGTTATTAATATTATCACTTTCCGTTAGTATTGATATAATAAAAGATAAATTTTAGAAAGATCAGTGGAGCACTGGGACACAGAATGAATTGGAATTTTGAAATAAGAAATGGGAAGAGTAGCGGAAAGCTGAGTATGTGTCATAATAGCTTCATGGCAGACAGTAACTATAGAAATGGAGAAAAAAGGTCAAGGCTAAGAGACTTTTTTTTATATAGCTAGGGGTAGCTCACTGACTAGAGATATGTGGGAGTCATTTGTGTAGACATGGCATTTCAAACAATGCAAGCTGGAGGAGATAATCAAGTAAGAGAATAAAACTAGAGAGAGGAAAGGAAGTGCATTGAAATGCATCTGTGTGGACAAGAAATTGTGACTGAGAAAGAGGGCCATGATTAGAATATCAGAAAACAAAGTTCAGGGGAGACTATCCAACAATACTGTGAGTGCCCACCTCTACTTTACAAATGAAAAGGCTGAGGCTGGACAAAAAGGATAATATGACTTGAAGTGAGTAATATGTCAGGAAGCAATCATGACTCAAGTTCTTGGATTCTCTACATTGCACTCTTGCCCTACTCTGCTAATTTCTGAGAATCAGTGGTTAAAAATACACACCCCCCACACACACATTGCTTCATAGAGTAAGAGTTTATGTGATAACCTAGATATTAAAGAAAAGTGGGGAGAGAGATCCTAGATAACATAAGAAAACCAGGGCTAAACAGCATACAGTAAGACTGAATTGACATACTTTTGATTGGATAATAGGGAAATCACTACTGCATAAGCAGCAGGAGCAGGGGGATGGAGGAAGTGGGGTAGGTACAGACTGTAGGAGGCATTGAATTGACTTACTAAATCCTGTTATTTGTCTTCTATTACGCAGAGCACAATTCTTTGAAGTTTCTGCCTTTATTCAATTCATTCCTCACCTATGCAGTCTTAGCTTAATCTCACCCTGGGAAGGATGCCATGAAGGAAATTGAAAATCAGGTTTTTCATCTGGAGCGCCAGTACCCACAAGAGCGTAGTTTTAATTCAGATAATTGTTTGGTGGGAGTGTTGTGCCAAATCAGAGTGTGAGTCACTCTGAGAAAAAAATAAAAGAAATCCAGTTAGCAAAATCCTAAAGATCAACTTCTCAAAGATTTTACTGCCAAACACCTAAAATGTATCAAGACAGCCAACTAGCAGCTAGTAATGAGCATTGAAAGAGTTTGTTAGCATCACTTATCAGGAACAAGGCCAGGACAATTGCTACACTTAAAAAATTGTCATTGCTGCTATTGATTGCTGTCTCAGAACGTTCATGACATATGTTTGAGCACTTGCTACCTATATTTCTCTTTGTTTTACAAATGAGCTATTCTCCAGCCCTCACTGAAGTGGGATGCTTTATCCGATTTCGCTTCTGACTTAACTCTGCCCTGAAGCTAGCTACTCACCTGTTAGACCAGAACATGGAAAGCTGATGCAAAGGGGCTGAAAATTAAAACCCTCAGAGAGACAGAGGGGGAAAGGAGGAAAGGGAGGGAGGGAGAGGAAGGGGAGGGGAGAGAGGGAGGCAGAAAGAAAAGGATTCAGATCCTGGAAAAGATGGAATCTTGCATCCACAATAGTGTCCTGATTCTTATATTTGTGGTTGTGAACCTAGCCTTTAATGGCTCAGATATCTCTCCAGCCCTAGTGTCCTGATTATAAAGACAAACGTCTTTAGAGTCACTTTTGCTTTCCTCAATTGCTTGAAGAAACTGCCATGGCTACGAAGTCAGTCTGATTAACTCAGTAGCGTGAGTTAACTCAGCCAGCCTGTCGTGGCAAAAGTAGCCCACCTTGACTAGTTAGCCTCAGTCTTCAGAGATCTCACACTTTTGGGAGCACTTTGAATTGCACATTGATTTCATAAAAGAAAATTTACTAGATGCTGTAAGAGATGACCACTGTGAACATTATTATGTCAAAATGCCAAGTACATTATTAGGCTGGAAATGTGAAGAAAGCGTTTATCTGTACATTAAGCAAAGTGACTCAGGATGTATTTTCCACCTACAAAAAGCTGAAGGTCAGAAACTAAATATTTGTGCCAAGAATGAGGTTTCTTATTAATCCCCAAACCTCTTCTTTTCTAGATCCTTCATTCATTTTCAGAAACACACCAACACCTAAAATACTGTAATAGCTCTCTCACTTGTGTGCAGTGGAATAACAATGAGATAGGGTAATTTTGGGAGTAATGAGACCCAAAACTCTTCATTAAAGACAGATGGCACTGAGCTGTTATCACAGCGATGTAAGTCCAATACCAGCCGGCATTATGGATCAGACTATGCTGATAAATAAAATATCAGTAGTAGAGAAGACCAAGCGGCTCTTGGCATATAAATGCCTATATATGTAAAGGTTTCTGTATAGAATACCGGTCTTTTCAGCTCTGCAGATGTTGGCCACCTCCAGAGATTGAACAAATATCTGTCCATATAAGATGTTTCTTTACCATTTTGGTCCATTTTCTGTTAATATAAAAAGTCATCAATCTGGTCATGGTGTTACGTGCCTTTAATCCTAGCACTAGGGAGGCAGAGGCAGGCAGATCTCTGTGAGTTTGGGGACAGCCGGGGCTGTTACACAGAAAAACCATGTCTTGAAAAGCTATATTAGAAACAAACATCAGAGGCTATATACTTTATGAAGTAGTTTATGTGTGTCTCCCAGTTCTGGTGGCTGGAGGGTTGGGACAATATGGTGACAGTGGCATCGCAAATCCTCCCATACCCATCCCTGCAGCACAACTTGGTGCACTATCAGAAATGCAGAAAGGATCAAACACTGGGAGAAGCTTTGATTGCGGCTTCCATAAGTACTACAGCGTTGCTTCCGAGGCTAGAATTCCCAGTAACCTAAGTACCTTCTGCCAGACCCTGTTTCTGAAAGTTTCCATCACTCAGTGCTATCACACTGGGGACCAAGCAGCATAGATCTCTGAGGGACACATTCACCTGTACTTTTTCATCTTACAGATTATCCAGAAGGCTCATCAATACTTGCTGTGGAGACAGAAACGTAGCAGTTTCCATGTTTTCTGCATCTCCAATAGGTCAGTACTCTGAAGGAGGCACATTTAGTGCCACAGAACTAGAAAAGGAGTGTGCTCTCATTCTGGTGAGCAAGGTGTTAAATTCTTCACCCTCGTTGCACACAGGAGAAGGTCTGTGCATAATTTCCCTGTGCAATGTACTGAAAAAGATGCCTTTATTCCCTACAAATTCACACGTACTTCACTTGTGCTAAAAGACCTCAGGGGATCCAAAAACAGCTAAATATCCCATTCATATTATTTCTTTTCATACCATGAATTATAAACCTTGTCGTGGTGCATACCGGGTCTCTGAAACAATACAGATTACAATAAGTTCTTTGTGCCTGACTCCATTACGTCTGTTAATAACCTACTCTTACCCACTAGCAGGCAAAGAGCAGCCTCCCTGTATTCCAACCCTTCTAAATGTTACTAATTTGTTATCAGTAGCAGGCAGCACTTTGCACAGAATTCTCTTTGACCTGCTGAAAAGCTGAACAGCCTTCTCTTTGCAATACTTACAAGTAAATAAGAGCAGTGTAATTCCATATTAAAAGGAGACTTCATTATAGAAATATCATGGAGCTCAAAGCTCTGAACTGGGAAGAAGTCACTTCTTTTCCCATGTAAAGGATAGCAGTTACTCAGAAGCCTCTTAATCTGTCCATGGGTTCTCCTGTCTTCAATCCTTTCCCTGTACAACTTGTGCTACGGACTGACACAAAGAGCTTGTATGTGCAGCTAGTTTAGGAAGCACTTCCATCAACTCTACAAGGTGACTGTTAGCCATTCACATTTTCTTATGAGAAAACTGAAATACATGTAACCACTTAACTGAGGTTACACAGTTGTCAAGGCTCAGCTAAAATTGCAACCCAGGGCTGTATGGCATCCAATCACCCCTTGTAACACTGAACTTAAAGGCCCAATGGACCCTTGGCCATGCAGCTTCAATTATAACTAAAGGTTAAAATAGACAACAGTTAAGTTAGTTTTCTTTTTCAATCCCTTGATGAAATGTTTGATATTTTGGTAAGGTAAATTATAATATCTAGTAATATGTATATTTTGGTTATCAAGGATGCTTCTTTATTTTAGCATGTGTCCTAAGGTAGTCTAAAATGCCAGTATTTTAGTAAATAATTGTTTAATGGAAAAGTGTTACTGAAGAGTAGGTACACTTAGGAATATATGGATATAAGCATAATTAGTGTAGAAATTCATGGGACTTTCAATGTGCTATGGGTTTTGTGACTCACAATTATAGTCACCCTTTGGATTTATTTGACTATCACAACCTTTCTTGCTATCTCCCACCCAAGTCAATGGGAACTTGACTTTATGTCAGTACATATTAAGATTTTTAATATATTAAGGAATATTGTGAATCCCCCAAAGTGGAGTAAGATACTTCCCAAATTTACATAACCATGTGATTCCTCCTAAGCTCTCATGGACATCCTGAATGAATATTAAACCATGAAATGCATTGCTTCTACTTCCCCAGGGAAGCAAAATTGCCTCTAAGCAATACCTTTTCAAGGGAACACTGTCCAAATAAATTGGATGGTTGGTTTTGTGGAAAAAACAAAGACATGTTCTGATTATAATAGAAGAACATTTGAGGGAACATTGGGTGTGGGGGTGAATGCCATTAATCCAAGCCCTTGAGAGGCAGAGGAAGATCTTTGGTATACATAGTAAGTTCCAGGACAGCCAGAGCTATGAAGACTTTTAAAGACATATATAGATAGTGACTATAATGATATTTGTAAAATCTCTAATCTGATATCAACTTGAATATCTATCCATAGAATAACAGAAAACATTACATATGTCAAAAACTATAGCTTTGTATATATTTCCTTTATTTTATTTTGAAGAGCATTTTTTTGTTTGTTTGTTTTGGTTCTCTCTGTATTGTTTTGGGGTCTGTCCTGGAACTCACTCTGTATACCAGGCAGGCCTCGAACTCATAGAGATCCGCCTGCCTCTGCCTCCCGAGTACTGGGACTAAAGGCATGCACCACGAATGCCCAGCTTGAAGAGCATTTTTAATTAAAGAAAAAATAAGGAATGAATCCCCATGTTTGTAACTTAGAGTTAGAAAACATTGAGGCTGAAGAGGTGGCTCAGTGGTTAAGAGCATTGGCTATTTTTCCAGAAGACCATGATTTAGTTCCCAGAAACCACATAGTGGCTCATGACTCTCCAATTCCAGAAGATTTGGCCTCTATTTGCACTGTATACACAAGTGCACAGACATACCTGCAGGCAGAAAACCAACACACATAAAATAAAAATAAAATCTCAAAGTAAAAATTAACAAACACTTTTTACTTTGTTTCAGTTTTTGTATATAAAAAAGTATTTCCATAATCTTTACACAAAGACTCACTGATTCTACATATCTCATTCAAAATGGAAGAACCAATGTGGGAAACTATTTGTAAAATATGCATCATACAGAAATTAGCATCCTTAATTTAATAATTTATTGCAACTCATTAAGGAAAGAAAAACACACAAGTTAGAAAATGGACAAAAGATGTAGTAATACAATCAAAATTAATAAGTAAATTAGAAAATTATTCAATTTCATTGTAAAGTATAAATTACCATAATTACTGATTTAACCAGGTTTTATGAATTATACTACCTAGTATTGGCAAAGACACACTGAGACAAGTATTCATATTCATTACTGATATGTTCAAATTCATATATCACTCATTTGTGTAAAGGCAAGTTGGTGACATATGTAAAAGCCTTAACATGTTCATAATATTTTATCTAATAACTAACTGCATTTTGGGAATGTATTTAAGTGAATTAACCATAGATCTATATGGTTATTTATTAATTTATTATAATGTGAGAATTTTTAAAAATAGAAAGAAGTATCTAGTAATAGGAGATTGATGACACAAGCTACTCCATCATGCTATTAAAATATTATTAAAATTTTTAAAATATTATACAATGATTAAAATTGTTATTTTAAAGAGCAACTAATAGGATTATGTAAAATGCTGTATGAATGAAGTTCTGTGTGTGTGTGTGTGTGTGTGTGTGTGTGTGTGTGTGTGTGTATCGGTATAAAATGAATGTAACTTTAAGGTTCTGTGTATCTTTTCATTATTAGGAATAAGACTATGAATGCTGTCTTTGAAAAGAAATCAGTTGGAACCATTTGCATAGGGCCATATGTGTTCAGGGGTTTGAACTCAGGTCATCAGGCTTGGCAGCAAGTGCCTTTACCCCCTAAGCCATATTTGTCTTTTTAAAACATACTTTCATAAAATTATTTTAGTGGATACAAATTATTATGAACTAGGTGTCACTATGCAATCATTCACAGTTGTTCAACTCATCTGTAAACTTCTGCTTTTTGTCCCCAGGAACCACCATCTCCCATGAGGCTTACAGACTTCAATGTTGAGAACCACTCTAATCCTCAAAATAAGTCACCATGTTGGATAGAAAGCTTCACAGTTTGGGTGTTCCATCAAATACATGCTGTGCAGATGTTTCAGGACTTTGCAAATTGACTTTGCTGACTGAACTCATTTTGTAAACAATTGCTTCAAGCCAGTTTTTCTTTCTTACCCTTCCCCAATCCATGAAAGCCTAAGTGTAAAATATATATCTTTATATGCAACTAGTTGGGTAAAAAGGAATTCAGAAGATTACCATGGAGTCTAATTCCCCCATGAACGGCTATTAATCATGTCTCTCTGCAGGGTCTTTCTGGTATTGAGGGGAGTCAGCATGTGTTTGCAGCTTATGTTCATGGGCATATATAAACATGTGTATGTGCAACAGAGTTCTGCCAAAAATCAAGGTTTAAAAACTGAGGATTGTATTTAATCATGCTCTTCACCTAAATACCAATTTAAATATTTGATGAACTCTGAACAAACGCTATATATCACATGTCTGAAATTTAAGAATGAGATTAAGTAGACTGTGACCAAGGTCCTGTTGAGAATTGAGCAACAATGCAAACTCTGTCCTGTCACAGAAATTTCTGAAAGCTAATAGGTCAGACCATATCAGACTTCCATTTCAGTAAGCATAACATTAGCATTTTAAGGCAGAGCATGATGGAGCATGCCTGTCATCCCAGCATTTGGGAAGCAGGGGAAGGGATTACTGCAAAGTCATGACCAGCCTGGTTGTTCTACATTGTGAGTTCCAGGCAACTTGGGTTACATAAGGAAACCCTATCTTGAAAACAAACAAACAAAAAGGGGAAATACTTTCTTTAAAACTTTCAATGCCAGGCTATGGTCAAAATTCTGTTATTCATTTCTCTGCTATATAGCTTTATTTTAGCCTTTGTAAATTACTTTTATAATAGTAGAAATACTATAAGCCTAAGTTATAGACCATCCATTTTATAAAAAGGATTTAAGGTGATTTTCAGTATAATTAAAATTCTGTTGAAGAAGGTAAAGTTCCAAATATGACACTAGCCTGAGGATTAGCTAAAGGTCTATGTTTTCACAGCAGGAGTTAATGTACAGAGTTAACTGAACAGTGATATTCCAGTCCTCTCTTTTAAGCTTCGGTGGCAGCTCAGCCATTAAGAGAGTTTACATCCATTTCCCCACTTATTTATAACCAGCCTTCCTTTCAGTCCTAGTGCCTGGATCAATGAGATGGACACTAATGCTGCTTCTTTATAATAATAGTACCTAAGAGTATTGATGTTTTTCATTTTTCAACCAGCACTCTAATGCACAGCTGCTGACAATAAAAGCCCCAACTCTTAACAGAGATCAGTGGGAGTTACAGGCAGCTCACAGTTATCAAGGAATTGAACTCCTTAAGAGACAGTTGGGTTTACTAAATTATTCTCTCTAAAATGTCTCTGGGTGAAAAAGAGTTGCCTATCACAAACAAATCTGTATTGGGGTGCCAGTGCAACTGAGAAGGAAAACAATTCAGCTATTTAAAGCAACAACCAAATGGGTCCATTTGGACTCCCTAGGTCATTTTAGCCAAGGTGAGACATTTAGCATCAAATAAATAGATTGCAGTCTGCATTTTATTTGAGAGAATCCAAAACATAAATAAGTCTACTAGGGCGAGGGCCTAGGGACTGCTTCTAAAATTCACAGGCTAAGGAGAGACCTAGAAGACTGTGTATGATGGATTCATGGTGTAAGTTAATAGTCATGTAGAAAGAACTTTTCCTTTCTATACTCCTAAAGTACCCTCTTGTCCATGTTTCCCTTGGAAACATATTTGGCTATCCATATGGCTCTAGGATTCACAGGCCTTGCCTCCTAGTCCTATACAAATACACCCTTCTCTAAGAGGCTGAAAGGAGCACTTCATAGCAAGTCAGCATCAAAGCATCCTTCCCCAACCCCACCTTTGATCTCTGCTAAGGTCCAGGAGCTAAGGCTATGACGCAGTCAGGAAGGTATCAGGAAAGTCTCCTCTGTAGAGTGTGTCAGCTAGTATTCAGCCCTCCTAGAGTTCATGTCACAAAGGACAATGTTAGGAAATGACATGGAAGTAGATGAATGGTAAAGCTCAGGTTAATGCAAGCTGATTGTCCAGTGTCTTAAGACTTACGCTGCCTCCAAAAGGCCAAATAAACCAGGGGTTTCTCTGGGTGCTTGGAGAAAGAAGAAACCCTATTCTTGCTTTAGGATCCTGACCCCATTAGTTTATAGACATTGATTACACCCCTATATATAGATTCGCTGTGTATTGATTACTGTATATAGGCATCTAAGTGGTTAGTTATTGATCAAGAAGACGGGTTTGTTTTATAATCAGCACACCCTGACCTCACTTGTTTGATTTCTTTTCCTTGGAACCCTGACCATTAACTTTTGTGGGATCTCATTCCTCAATCTTTGGTACTCTTTTTCCAAAGTTGGAAAATGAAGCTACTTGTGGTTAATATCCCACAGCTGAAAGGTGCTATGTAACTCCTGAGTGCTCTTACATATTTTTATTTGCAGGACTGGAATGAAAAGTTTAACCATTACAGTATTTCTGAGCAAAAAAAAAAAATGTGCTCTCAGTGCGCAGAATATTTTCTTGTAGAGCCTAGAGTACTTCATTAATTTTCTGTTGGTTCCAACAATGTCCTTGGAAAGAGACAGAATGGAAACTGTTTTCCAAAAATTGAAGATAAAAGACATAAAGTGCCATCCAACAGCACATAGATATTATGGACAGCCCACTGTTAGAGAGGCTAGCCCACTGTTAGAGAGGCTAGCCCACTGTTAGAGAGGCTTAACATCCTAGTACAAGAATTACTATGGGGCAACTTAGACCACCAAGAGCAAAGAGAACAGAATCAAAGTCCACAAGAATCCCTCTGTCTCCAAAACCTTGAGGTTTGTGATTTAGAGAGCTCTTTATTTTCTAATGCAATATGTGCCTCTTCCCCTCACTGGCCCCATATGACATATGTATTTCGCACTACATGGCATCGGCCAGGGCCATAATCTGTAGCACTCAGACAGCCCATTCTCAGGGTTCCCTTTTCCAGGGAAAACAATGTCTTCCTCACATTCGTGCCAAATTGCAGAGTGTAGACATGTATGTTAGTAGATATCCCAGCACAGTCCAGGCACATGTTCAAGAATACTTTGTATACATTACTGCAAACTACACCTAAGATTTGACCAGACCCAAATGACAGGAATGTAGCACAGACTATCCCTTTCATCTCTTTTCACACATATCCACATATGTGTAGATTTATATGGACATGAATGTACACCCTTCTTTTATGGCAGACTGCTAGGTCATTAGAGCAAATATTTATAGGGATGATTCTGTTCTCTCCTTTTAAATGAAGCCCAAAATCCCAGAAAGTGAACATTTCGTTAATCTGTTCTAAAATATCTGCTGTTAGAGTAGCTAAGAGACTCAGTTAGGCTGAAAGACATGTTCTGTGCAGACACACAGAGGACAAGATCCTCAGGTAATATTGCAAGTTCCGTGTTTGCAGACAATCCATGCACTCTGACCAGTCAGAAGGAAATGATTGACACTGTATGCTACATTTGCATTTCTTTAACCATACCTACAATATACCATATTACACTGTAGCCTTTGCATGTGGGTATTATGTAACATAGTAAGGAATGGGTGGCTCTTACCAGCATGCAACCCTTGTCTTGTTTATTTCCCCAAAAGGGCTAAGGCTGTGTCCTGCACAGTGTTCAAAACCATTAAATGTGTTCTTCAGAGCAGCCTAGTTAGCAACTGCCTACAGAATGATTTAAAATACACAGTGAATTCAATCTATCAGGATATAAGTTTTGGTAGGAGATTGTTAAAAGAAAAGAACAATAAAATAAGATGCATTCAAAGAATAATTGCTTTCAGCCTGCTGTCTAAATCAGCAGAGGAATACAGCAGGAAACCTGGAACTGGATCTTGATAATGTATGGAATGTATTGGAGAGCCAGAAAAGGACAGACACTGGGGACTTCCACAGTTAAGCTCAAGTTGCCAATATGCTGTAAATCCCTTTTGCCATCAGTCTGCTTACAGTGACTGTATATATTATTCTTAAAAACATATGTCTTGCTGCAGAAATACTGAAAAATGCTGTTCAGCTTTATCTTCCTATGTCCTTTATTAAAACTATATACATAAATTTATTGTGTTTTTTCTATGTCATAATTTGGAAAACAATATTGGTAAAAGGCTAGAGCTTCGAGCCACTCTGATGGCAGGTTCTTTATGTCTCATTTCCGGGGAAACAATAGTTTGCTCACTCCCAGGTGGGTTGGTAGGTGTGGCATATACTCTTGTAAGATCTCATCTTGTGAACACCCTCTCTTCCACTTTCAGTGTTTTTCTTTTACATGAGTAGAGCTGAGAAATTAACAGTAATGGCTTTTTGATAGAACACTGACCAGGCTAATGGCACTTAATCATGTTCAGCCTCTGCTCAGCCTCACACGCCTTCTGTCTGTTACTTTGCAATTATGATAGAAAGGAAAGAAAGGAGGGAGGGAGGGAGAGAGGGAGGGAGGGAGGGAAGAAGGAAGGAAGGAAAATCTTGCTTTATGTGACTAAACAAGCTCATGAGTCTGGTTTGGTTTTTCTCATACTGAGAACTATGCATTTTGGTCACCAGAAGTATATCACCTGAATAAAAAGTAATAGTCCTGAGAGAAAAATGTATTAGCCCACTTGCTCCTAAACCACACATTATACACTTAGAGAAATATTTGAAACCAGCATCATCAAGTAAGCTCTCTGAAAGATTTACTTTAGGGAAGACAAGGTGGCTTGATAAGGACCCGAGTTCAGATGTCCAGCATCCACATAAAAATCCAGGTGTGTAACTGTAAGATCTCCATGACTCCAGGCAACAGCAGGATGTTGACAGGAGTTTCGGTGAAGGTCCAATGATGATGTGCTAGAGACCTTGAACCAGATCAATGACTCACTGCAATGAACGTTTTGCAGGTGGGGCTGATTGTACCAAGGGGTATATTGCATGACAGAGCACAGCTCCTGATGCCACTAAGATGGATAAAGAAGTATAAGAAAGACACAGGTGCTAGGTTGTGGGTTTGTTTTGTTTTGTTTTTAATTAATTTGAGGGGATTCTTTTAGGGGACATGTTTCAGAGGTGAGGGGCAGATATTGCAGTTAAATAAGGATCAGGATAAACAAATAGGCCTAATAGATGTTTATTCAGGGAGAAATAATTTACAACCTAGACAGATGAACACCAGCAAGTTCCACCGGATGCTCTCCTCCACCCGCCAGCAAGAGAGCTTCCCCCAGCTCCTCCTCAGACCTCCTTCCACAGGTCACTTCCGCCCCTGGCTCCACCTCCCCCAATGGGCATGGTCAGTGCCACAGAAGGAGACAAAGTGAATATCCCACTACAAGGGGCAGATATGGAGGGGCTGGGAGGTGATCAGGATTAGGTGAATGATGTGAAATTCCCAAAGAATCAATAAAGAATTGGGTTGTTTTTTAAGCTAGATGTGGTTGTATGTGCCTATAAACACCAAGGAAGCAAAGATGAGCATCCTCATGGCTTGCTCACCAGCCTGCCTCAAGGAATCAGTGAGCTACATACAGGTTTAATGAGAGATCCTGCCTGAAAAGCAAGGTAGGTGACAGAAGACATTGCCCTCTGCTTTCCACATCCACAGACACAAAGAAATAAGAACTCCATCAATAAATGTATCATTTGCACAAAAAATGTTCATTACAAAACAAAATGGAAATCCTTCTCCCCTCAAATTAGCCATCAAAGAAGGCAGACATCACTAAAATGGAGAGCCCAGCCAGCTCAAGTTTGGTGACTGGCTGACTAAATAATAATGGAAAATTGAAACCACTTGGGAAAGGCCCAACGTATACAGGTCAGGCTCAACAGAAACCCAGAAATGAGTCTTTTATTTAGATTTAGACTTTAAAAATGTATTTACTTTGTTAAAAATCTGTGCTGAAAATACCATTTGACATATTACAATGCAATGCTGCAAACAGCTTTAATTTGCTTCACAATGTACTAGAAACAAAAGAAAACTAATCTCTTTCTAGATTAAAAAAGACATAAAGGAAGCCTCTATGTAAGAATCTTATTTGAGTTAAGGTTGTTACCAAGGAAATTTAAGGCATAAACATTCAAAAAGAAACTTTATAGACATAAAGATGTAAATATGTAGAATGCTTTATATAGGAACAAGTAAACATATTAGTATGCATTTTCTTCATGATATAAGCAACAGAAATTTTCAAATCTAATTTTTCACATATGCAGTGACATTGAAAAACTAGTCAGTTTCTCTTTGAATATTAAAATACTCATTCTAGCACAGTAGCATGATTCAGTGTTTATCAATTCTAGAAGATTCAGATATTTATGATAGAAAACAGTACATCTTAAGTGAACATTTTTAAAAATATTTGAACAGGTTTATGGTCTTGAAAGGCAATTTCTTCACAAATCTTCGCCAAAATACTCAGGTCAACTTTATGAATTAGTAGAGTCTCAGACCCTGCCCCTGACTATGTCAGCAAACTCAAATCAATTCAGCTGTAGCAATGACAACTCTACTCAAGATAAAACATAATTCACTGTACAAGGAAAGCAAACATTTTGCTGTTAAAATATCACAGAGTGTAGATGACTGACAAATTAGTCAAAATATTCTTAATTTATACTTACAAATCCACCCTCATA